CAGGCAAGTGTGTCCCTGGGTTGAGGGGAATGAGTTGTCAGTGTGGTGGCAGCTGTGTGTGTCCCTGGGTTGAGGGGAGCGAGGTGTCAGTGTGGTGGCAGGCAAGTGTGTCCCTGGGTTGAGGGGATGAGGTGTCAGTGTGGTGGCAGGTGTGTTGTCCCTGGGTTGAGAGGAGTGAGGTGTCAGTGTGGTGGCAGGTGTGTGTGTCCCTGGGCTGAGAGGAGTGAGGTGTCAGTGTGGTGGCAGGTGTGTGTGTCCCTGGGTTGAGGGGAGTGAGGTGTCAGTGTGGTGGCAGGTGTGTGTGTCCCTGGGTTGAGGGGAGTGAGGTGTCAGTGTGGTGGCAGGTGTGTGTGTCCCTGGGCTGAGAGGAGTGAGGTGTCAGTGTGGTGGCAGGTGTGTGTGTCCCTGGGCTGAGAGGAGTGAGGTGTCAGTGTGGTGGCAGGTGTGTGTGTCCCTGGGCTGAGAGGAGTGAGGTGTCAGTGTGGTGGCAGGTGTGTGTGTCCCTGGGCTGAGAGGAGTGAGGTGTCAGTGTGGTGGCAGGTGTGTGTGTCCTGGGTTGAGGGGAGTGAGGTGTCAGTGTGGTGGCAGGTGTGTGTGTCCCTGGGCTGAGAGGAGCGAGGTGTCAGTGTGGTGGCAGGTGTGTGTGTCCCTGGGCTGAGAGGAGCAAGGTGTCAGTGTGGTGGCAGGTGTGTGTGTCCCTGGGCTGAGAGGAGTGAGGTGTCAGTGTGGTGGCAGGTGTGTGTGTCCCTGGGCTGAGAGGAGTGAGGTGTCAGTGTGGTGGCAGGTGTGTGTGTCCAGGCCACAATTAGTCTCACTTCACTTACAATGAGTCGCTCACGTGAGCGTTAAAACTCTTGATCAAGTGTTTAGCCCACACCCGCCTGCCCGTGACGCTCTGGCTGTCTCTGAGGGAAGACTACACCTGCTTCCTCCTTAAATTTGGTCCCGTTACTCTGGATGTATATATTTCTACTCACCAGTTGTCTCCCACTGAGGCAGAGTAACCTAAAAAGAAAAGATTTGCTTTTTACATTTAGTAATTTATGCAGGAGAAGGGGTTACTAACCCCTTGCTCCCGGCATTTTAGTCGCCTCTTACAACATGCATGGCTTACGGAGGAAGGATTCTTTTCCATTTCCCTATTGAGTCATTCTGGATATGTTTACATACAAAATATTGAATAGGGTATAACAGGTATATTACATGGATGATGATAATTAAATAATTATTAGTTGTGGTTGATGGGATCAGATCCCCATTTCTTGCCTCACTTCCCCCTAATCATGTATTCACAGTCCCTCTGTAACCTCATGGTTCACCTCTTAAAGCTGTCTATAATATAAGATTTTGCTCATCATTTTAACCCTGGAGGGTTAGTTACCCAGGGTAACCCTGAAAAGTCGGTACATCATTAAGGGACTCTATCTTATTTCCATTGTGGTCCTTTAATCTTCTCCCCCAGGATGCCACCCACACCAGTTGACCAACACCTAGGTACCTGCTTACTGCTAGGTGAACAGAGACAACAGGTGTAAGAAAACATACCGAGTGTTACCACCCTTACCAGGGATCAACCCACAGACACTCAGTGTGTGAGACGTGAGCGTTGCCTAGCAGGCCACGGGACACCGTATGGAATCCATGGATGTGGATGTATGGGATATAACTCAGTTATAATAGGATTTAATCCATGTATTTCTGTACAGAATGTTCATCTATACAACGTTAAGGTTAACCAAGCTATGGCAGTGATTACACTTGAGACCCTCTATACCACTTTAGGATATTTCTTACCTTAATTCTGGGAATCACTGCCCTTGTGGCCAGTCCCATACCAGGCCTCCTGGATACTGGTCTGACCAATCACAGTCAAGTACACTAAGTTAGTCCTTCCACACAACCAAAGATTATTTATTAAAATGAACATAACTAAGCACTAAGTAGGTAGTAGGTTGGTAGACAGCAACCACCCAGGGAGGTACTACCATCCTGTGGTAGTAGGTTGGTAGACAGCAACCACCCAGGGAGGTACTACCATCCTGTGGTAGTAGGTTGGTAGACAGCAACCACCCAGGGAGGTACTACCATCCTGTGGTAGTAGGTTGGTAGACAGCAACCACCTAGGGAGGTACTACCATCCTGTGGTAGTAGGTTGGTAGACAACAACCACCCAGGGAGGTACTACCATCCTGTGGTAGTAGGTTGGTAGACAGCAACCACCCAGGGAGGTACTACCGTCCTGTGGTAGTAGGTTGGTAGACAACAACCACCCAGGGAGGTACTACCATCCTTTGTAGTAGGTTGGTAGACAGCAACCACCTAGGGAGGTACTACCATCCTGCCAAGTGAGTGTAAAACGAAAACCTGTAATTGTTTTACATGATGGTAGGATTGCTGGTGTCCTTTTTTCTGTCTCATGAATATGCAAGATTTCAGATATGTCTTGCTACTTCTACTTACACTTAGGTCACACTACACATACATGTACAAGCATATATATACACACCCCTCTGGGTTTTCTTCTATTTTCTTACTAGTTCTTGTTCTTGTTTATTTCCTGTTATCTCCATGGGGAAGTGGAACAGAATTCTCCCTCCGTAAGCCAAGCATGTTGTAAGAGGCGACTAAAATGCCGGGAGCAAGGGGCTAGTAACCTCTTCTCCTGTATATATTACTAAATGTAAAAGGAGAAACTTTAGTTTTTCCTTTTGGGCCACCCTGCCTCGGTGGGATACGGCCGGTGTATTGAAAGAAAGAAAGAACTAAGCACTAAGTGGGAGGGGTTGGGTTTAATTGGTGTTGTAGGTACAGGAGTAAGCTCTTGGGTACCTTTGGGAAGGGGTGGTATTGATAAGGACCTGCCTTGTATGGGTCAGTAGGCCTTCTGCAGTGTTCCTCCATTCTTATGTTCTTAAACCCATATGGGTCATACAGCACACAACCTAAGAAAATAGAGAAAAATTTAGTGTTGAGGTTGTCAGGTGAATTTTTTAAAGGTTATATACCCTTATCATGTGAGTTGCTTTACCTAAGGACATATTTGCCGTCTATTGCCAGATGTGTTGTTCCTTATGGTGATCTATACTTTATTGATACAGAAAATCCTCCATTTTTGTAAGGGTAATGTTCCTGACGACCCAGTGGTTGAAGAAATATACGAGAAAGTTCACTTGAACATTGACGCAGGTCACAGGGTGTGGTGGAATGTTGAGTGCTCACAAAGTTGCTAACATTCTCACAATAAAATAGGCCTTTTTTTTTATAGGGAACACCTTTGAAAAAGGAGATTCTGAAGAGAAGTTGCAGAGATTGGTGGATAAATTTGGTAGGGTGTGCAAAAGAAGAACATTAAAAGTGAATACAGGAAAGAGTAAGGTAATGAGGATAACAAAAAGATTAGGTGATGAAAGATTGGATATCAGATTGGAGGGAGAGAGTATGGAGGAGGTGAATGTATTCAGATTATTTGGGAGTGGACGTGTCAGCGGATGGGTCTATGAAGGATGAGGTGAATTTATTTATTTATTTATTTAGTAATTTAAGCATACAAACAGAGGTACAAAAAATACAGGTAAGAGCAGCATGCCAAAGCCACTTGTATGCATAGCATTACGGGCTGGCTTAAAATTAACTTAAGATTAACTAAGCAATGATGTAATCAGTGATAAAACATTATTGTAAACAGATAACAATAAAGCACAAATGAGTATTACAAAGACAGGTCATATGGTTGCATGCATTGCTGTACATAGAATTGATGAGGGGAAAAGGGTGAGTGGTGCACTTAGGAGTCTGTGGAGACAAAGAACTTTGTCCTTGGAGGCAAAGAGCGGAATGTATGAGAGTATAGTTTTACCAACGCTCTTATATGGGTGTGAAGCGTGGGTGATGAATGTTGCAGCGAGGAGAAGGCTGGAGGCAGTGGAGATGTCATGTCTGAGAGCAATGTGTGGTGTGAATATAATGCAGAGAATTCGTAGTTTGGAAGTTAGGAGGAGGTGCGGGATTACCAAAACTGTTGTCCAGAGGGCTGAGGAAGGGTTGTTGAGGTGGTTCGGACATGTGGAGAGAATGGAGCGAAACAGAATAACTTCAAGAGTGTATCAGTCTGTAGTGGAAGGAAGGCGGGGTAGGGGTCGGCCTAGGAAAGGTTGGAGGGAGGGGGTAAAGGAGGTTTTGTGTGCGAGGGGCTTGGACTTCCAGCAGGCATGCCTGAGTGTGTTTGATAGGAGTGAATGGAGACAAATGGTTTTTAATTCCTGACGTGCTGTTGGAGTGTGAGCAAAGTAACATTTATGAAGGGATTCAGGGAAACCGCAGGCCGGACTTGAGTCTGGAGATGGAAGTACAGTGCCTGCACTCTGAAGGAGGGGTGTTAATTTGCGTTTTAAAAACTGTAGGTAAAGCACCCTTCTGGCAAGACAGTGATGGAGTGAATGATGGTGAAAGTTTTTCTTTTTCGGGTCACCCTGCCTTGGTGGGCCACCCTGCCTTGGTGGACCACCCTGCCTTGGTGGCCACCCCTGGGCCTGCTGGTGGACCACCCTGCCTTGGTGGGCCACTGCCTTGCCTTGGTGGACCACCGCTTTGTGCACTTGGTGGGCCACCCTGCCTTGGTGGACCACCCTGTCTTGGTGGGCCACCCTGCCTTGGTGGGCCACCTGCCTGGTGCCCCTGCTGGTGGCCACCTGCTTGGTGGGCACCTGCCTGGTGCACCACTGCCGGGGTGGACCACCCTGCCTTGGTGGGCGACCCTGCCTTGGTGCACCACTCTGCCTGGGTGGACCACCCTGCCTTGGTGGGCCACCCTGCCTTGGTGGGAATCGGCAGTGTATTAATAAAAAAAAAAATTGAAAAAACAAAATTAGTGGATGAGCTATGATGCTTTATTGTGCAGTATAATGTAAGCATGTGTTCATTTGAAAATACTGTACTTAATAATTTTTGAAAGGTAACTTCACTTAACACTATTCATATGTTATTTTTGTTTTTTCTTGCAGAAGCGGTGGGATTTCATGCGCAAGGCTGTGAGGAAGTTAGTAACATATGATGTTCCTGATGGCTACAGTGTTGGGCTGGTTGTGTTTGACTCCATTGCAGCCACCAAATACCCCTTGACTACACTCACTGATGGTGCCACTAGGGAGAAGGTGGGCTCTTCGCTGCCCCGCAATCCTTCGCAGGAAGGCGAACACAAGAGGTGCATTGTGTGTGGCCTGCGTGAGGCCCTCCGCTTGCTTCGTCAAGATGGCCCTGGTGGACACATTGTCATGGTGACAGGTGGGAGTGGTAGTCTTGCTGAATCTGAAGCTACAGAGGCTATGCACATGCTATCAGATTCTAGTGTGTCACTCCATGCCATCATATACCCACTCACTGAGAAATACCCTAGACCTAATGCAGGGTTAGAGACATTGGCAACACGATCTGGAGGCCACAACTTCATTGTTCCTGATGAAGGTATTGGTGCCGATTCTAAGCTAGGAATGTACTACAACTTGCTGGATTCATTATACCATACCCTGAGTGCTGTGGCTGGTCGCTCTGTTCTGCCAGTTAAAGTTCACTCAGCAGAGCATCCTGGAGGTAAAGTACCAGTGTCAGAGGGCAGCTTCCTTGTGGATCCAGCTTTAGGGGCTGACACAGTCTTTGCTATCTTCTACTATGATGTTGCCCATGTTGGTAACCTAATTCACCTAGTGAGTCCTCAGGGTCAAGTCATCGACACAGCTAATATGCAAAAAGAAGACGCCAACATCAATATGATCACTGTACGGCTGGCCGAGGCGCAGGTCACTCCTGGACTATGGCAGTACAAGGTGGGAAATAGAGCAGATTCTCATCAGGCCCTCTATGTACAGGTTACCTCCCGCCCACGCCTGCGACCTGGTGCACCCCCGTGTCAATGCCAGGGCATGGACAAGTCATTCTATGGGAATTGTCAATGCCAGCGATATATCCAGACCTCTTGCTCTGTACACAGAAGTGGTTGCAGGTGTGGCTGGTGTGGAGTCAGCCACAGTCACTGCCACCATCACCAGACTTGGTTACACCAACAATGGCACTCATCATCCTCCTCTCAAGGTCAACTTGTTTGATAATGGGCTAACAGGTCAGTATTTGTGCTATATCATGTACCATATTTAATACATTAAAGACAGTTGAATATAAAATATATATTACCTGTGAAATATGTGACTGATCTCTAGACAAGACCAGTCATGGATGTGGTAACACTTTTCAGATCTATCATGCTGTTCATTACTTATTTTCATGTCTAAATTCATTTTGTATTGCAGGTCCAGACATGATGCGTGGTGATGGGGTGTACTCTCGGTACGTGCCATGGCTGGTGGCTGGCAAGTACAGTGTGACAGTGCATGTGCAGGGTGAGGTGGAAGGTAACAAGTTTGTGCGTCATGTAAGACTGGGTATGGTAGATGTTGTGGGTACTCCACCAGTTCGTGATGCACTCCCGCCTGCCAGGGTTGTTGATCTCCGTGCTGCTCTACTTCCAAACACTGTCAATCAGGTGGGCTTTACCTGGACAGCACCCGGAGGTGACCTTGACTATGGAACAGCTGATCGCTATGTCGTGATGGCTTCACAAAAGCAGCATGATCTGAGTGAGGGTGGAGGCAATCTCTTGGAGGGATGGGCAGCACCATAGCCTCCCCAGGAGTGAAAGCACCTTAAACAGGGGCGTGAGTATGACACTGTCAGCTATCTCACACTGTAGCTGTAGATGAAGAAGGGAACACAGCAACTTTGAGTAATTTGTGACAGTTTTCGTGCGAGCCCACCCACTACACTCCCCCCACCTTTTAGCACCATGTTGTTCCGCCAACGTCTCAGCATAAAAGGGTGCTGGCCCCAGTTTTGACTACTCTTGACACTCGACAATGGCTGTGGTGTTTGGGGTTTGGTGGTTTCTTTTTGGTGGTGACAATCATTGTGTGTTATTGTAAGCTGTCACCGACGCAATAATAAATTGTTTCCCCCCAAGAGGCCATGAAGCTCCAATCCCTACAGTGTCCAGTCCTTTTCCCTTTAAAAAGGTACTGACTTCCTGAGGGAAAGGTGCTTTGAAGGATGGCAGAAGAAGGAATCATTAGTCCGGGGGATCTGGTCTGCATCTCAGCTGCTGAGCAGCCCCCATGACACTAAGAGGGAAGGGGGTTTCAGCACGCTCAGCAACCCTCGCCCACAGTGCCTCTCCCAAAAAAGGATTATGGAGGATCTTCTGGGGCTTTGGACTATATGGTGATGAAAACCAGTATCAGTACCCCCATGCGGCTTTCCAGATCACTCCCCCCCCCTATGATGGCTACCCACTCCTACTGAGGGTTACCCTTTTGGAAGGGTATCCAAGTGGGGGATATCCTGCCCACTTGAGACCCTCCTACATCACCCCAGCCATCAGACCCTTCCTGTCTGTGTCTGTGACCTCTGCCATTTTCCCAAATGGACCTCCGCTTATTGTTATCCTTCTTACACCCCTCCCTGAGGCGACAAAGGGCCACCCCCCCAAATCCCACCAAAGAAAAAGGTGTGAACCCCTTCCTGAACCTTATGTATAGACACCAACTCCGGGCCCCCTCATTCCTGATCCTTCTTTCTCAGAGAACGCGTGCGGAATGTAACCATGGTATAATGGAATTCCACTTCATCAACCATGATGAGAGCTTTGGCTTATTAGTGATAGTTTTTCTTTAAATAGCGGAAAAAAGCTTGGAACAAAAAATTTAACCGTGTGCAAAAATATGCTGACACTGCGGAAAATTTAATGCTGGAAAATTAGAACCACTGAAACATCGTGTATCTTTTTTAGACTTTGCACATGTGTCTAATTTTTATTTTGTCATTTGCATACAATTCATGTACAAGTTAGTTATTCCCCAATTTATTATTAAATGCATGGTACTATTAGTCAGCATAAACCTAAAAACAATCTGACAGGGGGTTTAATCCTGACTCTTATTTTTAATAGGTTAGCGTGGGTGAAGTTCAAAAATTACTGCCACAGTGACTGCAGCATCATCAGAATTATTTCCCCACTTGGTATAAATGTGTTGCACTTTAAAAAGCAAGCCCGAAAAAAAGTTTAAACGTCACTGGGTGCGTTACAGGGGGAACAAGTATTATTAAAAGTATTGTTGTAACATTGATCACCTGTCTAGTAAAAAAAATATGTATGTTTCTTTTGTAAAGATTTTTTGGGGTGACAGATGAAATTAGCTGGCAAGGTGGGGCACAAGATGTGAGAATTTAATGCAAGCATTGCAAATTTTTTGACACAAAATGGGGAGGGGGGGGGAAAAATTTCCAAAATTTTTAGATTGCAGACGGGGGGGGGAGACTGAAAATACACATAAAAACTAGAAATGACTTAAATGTTTAAATGGTTGTTTTTGATTTTTTGATTACGGGTTCCCTTTTTTAATTTATTAATTTTTTTGAAAACTCGTTAAAAATTATTTAAAATTTATTTCTTTAAAACAAAATTATTAAATTTTTTTTGTATGCAAAATTTGTATTTAATGAAATTTTTTTACCGTTTGTAGGAAAAGGGAAAATTTTTTACCGTTCTTAAACTCCTAATTTTTTTTTAAAAAATTTTTTTAAAAATTCCCCAAAAGGCAAAGGTAGATATTTTAAATTTTTTATGCCCCAAAAAGGGAATATAAAACCTTTATTGGAAATTTAATCTTGGGGCCTTTTAAATTTTTATTTATTAGGGAAAAAATCAAATTTTTTCAAATTTTAATTATTGGGGAATAAAAATTTTTAAATTTTAAAATTTCGTACAATTGTTTATGTAAATTTTTTTTTAAAAACCCCCCCCAAAAAAAAAAAAAAAAAAAAAAAAAAAAAAAAAAAAAAAATTTTTAATAAAAAAAATTTTTTCTTTTAAATTTTTTATTTTTTTTTTTAAAAAAAATTTTTTAAAAAATTTTTCCCAAAAAAAATTTTGATAAATTTTTTTTTTAAGGTTTTTAAAATCCCCAAAAAATTTTTGGGAAAACTTTTAAAGTTCAAAAATTTTTTACAATAAAAAAAAAGGGCAACCAACCTTTTAATAAAAAATTTTCTCCCTTAAAAAATTTTTAATTTTTTCTTCAAGTTTTTTTTTAAAAAAATTTATTTAAAAATCTTTTAAAAAATTTTGAAAATTAAATTTTTTTGGTTTTAAAGATTTTTAAAAAATTTTTGAAAAATTTATTAAAACAAAATGGTAAATCCCTTTTTAATTTTTAAAAAAAAAAATTTTTTGGGGGGAACCCGGGCAAAATTCCCGCTCTTTTACTGTGGGGTTTTAAACCTTCCCCAAATTTTTTTAAAAAAGGAAAAATTTATCCCAAATCCCTGGTCAAGGAATATAGAACTTGTTTTTTAAAAACAGTTTTTTTTAAAAAAATAAATTTCCTTTTTAAATTAAAAATTTTTTAATAAATTTAAAAATTTTTAATAACACAAATAAATTTTTAAAAAATTTTTTGGGAAAATATTTTTTTTGGGAAGGGGCCTTCCAGGGGGGGCCTCGGGTTTTTAAAAGGGGGAAAGGTTGTGGCCAAACCCCTTATTTTTTTTATGTTTTTTTAAAAATTTTTATAATGTGGTAAACGAAACCAGAATTTCCATTTTTAATTTGTTTTGGTTTGAATACTTTTCTTTACACACTTTTTTTTAACCCATAAAATTTTTTGGCAATTAACCAATAATTAAATTTGGTTAATGTTCCCTTAAAATCTTTTATGAAACAAAACCTTCCAAAACGGGTTTTCCTTTGGGGTTTTAAAAAACCCAGGAAGGTACCCCCATTTCACCCCGATAAAAATAAAATATTTAATCATAAAAATATTTTGGGTTTTAAACCGAAATAATTTATTTAAAAATTTGGGGTTTTTAAATAATTTCCCCGGGCCAATGGGTTTTTTTTGGGAAAATTTAAATGCGAATTAAAAAATTATTTAAAAATTGCCTTAAAATTTTTTTACAAATGTTTTTGTTTTTTCGAGCAGGGGAGGGTAAGGGGGGGGTGGAATATTTCCCTGGGGAACTTATGCGACCCTTCTAAAAGATTAAGGGATATTAACCCCTAATGGGTTTAGGACTTTTCTAACAGGGGGTTTTTTCCGAGATTATCCGTAATGGCCCATTTAAAAAAGTATTTTTATTTTGGTTTTCAACTGGGTTTATACTGGTTTAACATTGGTGTTATGGGATTTTTGGGTAAAAATTTTTATATGGTTGGGTGGTACCGGGGGTTTGTTAAGGGAAAATTTTTGGGGGGTTTCCTGGGGTTGGGTTTTTGGTTGGGGGATTTTTAGGGATTGGGGCCACATTTGGGGGTAAGGGGGATGGTGTGGGTATTTCTGGGTTTGGGGGCGGGTTTGGGGGGTTCCTGGGTGTTGTGGAAAGGGGTGTTGGGGGCCCACTTCCTTGCATGGCGGTTGGGGGTTCCCTCCGGGGTTTTAGGGGATTGTGGGTACCGGGGTGTTAGGGGACTGGTGTGGGAAATCCTGGTAAAAAGTGGACTGGTGTGGGACTCCGGGGTGTTGGGACTGGTGTGGGTCATCCTGGGTTAGTGGATGGTGTGGGTAAAATTGGGGTTGTTGGGGACGGGTGTGGGTCCATCCGGGGTTTAGTGGACGGTGGGGGTGGCATCCTGGGTTTTTTGGGAGGGTTTGTGGGGGGATCCGGGGTGTTAGGGACGGGTTGGGTGGTACCTGGTGTTAGTGACTGTTGGGGGGCATCCTGGGGTTAGGGGACTGGTGGGGTCACACCCGGGGTTTGTTTAATGGACGGGTGGGTGGTATCCTGGGTGTTATGGACTGTGTGGGTCGACCCGGGTTTGTTAGTGGATGTGGGGTGGCATCCTGGGTGTTTAGGGACTGGTGTGGGTCCATCCAGTGTTAGTGGACTGGTGTGGGTCACATCCTGGGTGTTAGGGACTGTGTGGTTCGCATCCTGGGTTTAGTGACTGTGTGGGTCACATCCTGGGTTTAGTGGTCTGGTGTGGTTCACATCCTGGGTGTAGTGATGGTGGGTGGATCCAGGGTGTTAGTGCCCTGGTGTGGTCATCCTGGGTGTTAGTGGAACGGTTTGGGGCAATCCTGGGTGTTAGTGGATGGTGTTTTGGGTGGCCTCCTGGGTGTGTGATGGTGTGGGTCCATCCTGGGTGTTAGTGACTGGTGTGGGTCATCCGGTTTAGTGGACTGGTGTGGGTCACACTGGTGTTAGTGGACGGGTGGGGCCCAATCCTGGGTTTAGTGGAATGGTGTGGTCCTTCCGGGGGTTTGTTAGTGGACGGTGGGGTGGATACTGGTTTAGTGGACGGTGTGGGTGATCCTGGTGAGGGATGGGTGGCAATCTGGGTGTTAGTGGGGGGGGGTCCACCTGGTTTAGGGGATGGGTGGGTAATCCTGGTGTTAGGGACTGTGTGGGGTCACATCCGGGGGTGTTAGGGGACTGGTGTGGGTACATCCTGGGTGTTAGTGAACTGGTGTGGGTCCATCTGCGTGTTAGTGGACTGGGTGGGCACATCCTGGTGTTTGTCGTGGACTGGTGTGGGTCAATCCTGGGTGTTATGGATGGTGTGGGTCAATCCTGGGTGTTAGTGGACTGGGTGGGGTCACATCCTGGGTGTTGTGGACGTGTGGGTCTTCT